CAAAACAGGAAAAACCTTCACATCCTGTCAAACTGAAACTTGGCAGGTTTTTACTTTGTCAGGTCCCAGGCCCGCTGTTATCCCTAGACTGCTAAATAAGAAAGTTCTTGATATTTCAAATATAGCCAGTATCTGGGTGACCCCTTTGGGCCCCACAACCAACAAAAACTGATGTCAAATCCAATAAGTACCTTACAGTATGAGCGTCTGTGTTTCCCCCTTTTATGGTTGCAGGGGTTTAATCTAGCTGGGTTCTGCCTTTCAATTTGTAACTTTCTACATTCACCCCTTCTAGCCTCATGGGCCCTAATCGACCTGTACAGAGTCGTTCGCAGGGCAGTTATATGTGCCATCTATCTGCAGTGCTTGACACAATTTCAGCATTTTGAGGATGGCAAAAGCTGCAAGGGGTTGAATTGTCCCTTGAGCTTTTTTAATGGATTCTACATTTTCATCCTCATTAGGGGGTGCTGCAATGGTGGCACAGATTTTTGTACAGCTTTGGGGGGGTCCCCTGAAAGGGGTTGGCTTTTCCCAAAAAATTTTTATGTACAAACTGGACAGCATCAAAATCAGTAAAATCAACACAAACTTTTGGGGGGTGCACCAATGTTGTCTTCTGAGTCATCACTAGTCCCGCCCTGTCATGTGCCTGAAAGCCAGAAAACGCAAGAAGCCTTTCCCGTGGTCATGCAGAGCAGAGCCTTGTTTAAGCTGGATTTCTATTCCACCCGGACTGGTAAAGCTAGGGAATCAACCCCGCTTTGGCACTGGTACTGGGTTTTCCCCACTAGTTTGCTTCCCCCCATGCGGAAGCCCGTCCAGCAAAGACAATTTTTTAAATTCCTCTTTTATTTGGTTTGTATTCTTCCCCAACCTCCCTAGTAGGGATTGTCCCACCAAGCATTAAATGTGATAGTTTAAGAGTAAAGTAAAAATAAAAGGGCACAAATGAACTAATGTACATTTTATTTGGGGCAACGTTTTTTTTTCTCTCCAGGAGCTTTATCAAGCCGTTCAGCTTGAAAAAGTCCTGGGGACAAACTTTCCACAATAAAATGTCACATTAGTTGCACTTGTGTCCTTTTATTTTACATATTGCCCCTAATTCTACCAACATTTTTACAGTTTTTAAAAGTAAAAATGTCCCCAAAAGTTCTATCTCTTCGGAAGCCGTACAGGGGACACACTTTTTCCCGGTCAGTTGGAAATTCTAGTCTTATGGGACTTCTTGCCTCAACAAGTTGCCCCCAAAGAAACAAGCTCTTGGGCTGTCTTTTCCCGTAATTGATAAAAGAAATGAATGAAAATTTGGGACTTAACATGCAAATGGGATATCATTGCTTTCACCTTGTCTTTAGCTTGCTTTTCAGCTCTTTTTTAGTTTAGCACCCTGTATTGAGCCTGCTGTATAGTGTTTCTGACATGGTTTGCAAATCGTTGCATCAATGCCTTTGGGCTTCATGAATTTTTTCAGTTTATTTTTTTCCCCGGGAGTTTGTCCAAACTGAGTTGATTAAATTCTTGCAAGTGAGTGTACCACTTAGTTAATTTCTGCTTGGGAAAGTAAAAAAGTGCCCGTATTCTGCTTTGTCTTGGTAAATCATGGAAATATACAGGAGAAGGGGGTTCAACCCTTGCTCCCGGGATTTTAGTTGCCGCTTACGAACCCCAAGGTTTACGGGGGGAAGTTATATTCTGTAAAAAAAAAAACTTAAAAAACGGAAACTAAAAAATAAAGTCATATTTAAAGCCCCAGAAAAGAAAAACTTTATAAAATGGTTTCTTAAATGTGCGTGGGTGTAGTGCGGATGACAAGAAACAATGATTGCTGAGTTATAAAGAAAAGAATTTTATGCCTGGCCCTAAGAAAAAAAGTGAAGGGGGTAGGAAGGTTTCAGGGGGGGAAAAAAAATGGGATTAAATCTGGGGTATCTGAGAGAGTTAAGCAAAGGGAAGGGGAGCAGTAATGTTAAATGATCAGTTTTTGGAAGGAGAAAAGAAATAAAAATGTTTAAAATTTAAGAAATTTTGTGGATTAAAGTAAAAAGGGTTTGGGCGAGAAGTGGGGGCATAATAAGCGTGTATGCACCTGGGGAAAGAGGAATGCAAGGAGAAGAAGTTTTGGGAGATGTTAAGTGAATGTATAGGAGCCTTTGAACCAAGTGAGAGAGTAATTGTGGTAGGGGACTTGAATGCTAAAGTAGGAGAAACTTTTAGAGAGGGTGTGGTAGGTAAGTTTGGGGTGCCAGGTGTAAATGATAATGGGAGCCCTTTGATTGAACTTTGTATAGAAAGGGGTTTAGTTATAGGTAATACATATTTTAAGAAAAAGAGGATAAATAAGTATACACGATATGATGTAGGGCGAAATGACAGTAGTTTGTTGGATTATGTATTGGTAGATAAAAGACTGTTGAGTAGACTTCAGGATGTACATGTTTATAGAGGGGCCACAGATATATCAGATCACTTTCTAGTTGTAGCTACACTGAGAGTAAAAGGTAGATGGGATACAAGGAGAATAGAAGCATCCGGGAAGAGAGAGGTGAAGGTTTATAAACTAAAAGAGGAGGCAGTTAGGGTAAGATATAAACAGCTATTGGAGGATAGATGGGCTAATGAGAGCATAGGCAATGGGGTCGAAGAGGTATGGGTAGGTTTAAAAATGTAGTGTTAGAGTGTTCAGCAGAAGTTTGTGGTTACAGGAAAGTGGGTGCAGGAGGGAAGAGGAGCGAATGGTGGAATGATGATGTAAAGAGAGAGTAAGGGAGAAAAAGTTAGCATATGAGAAGTTTTTACAAAGTAGAAGTGATGCAAGGAGGGAAGAGTATATGGAGAAAAAGAGAGAAGTTAAGAGAGTGGTGAAGCAATGTAAAAAGAGAGCAAATGAGAGAGTGGGTGAGATGTTATCAACAAATTTTGTTGAAAATAAGAAAAAGTTTTGGAGTGAGATTAACAAGTTAAGAAAGCCTAGAGAACAAATGGATTTGTCAGTTAAAAATAGGAGAGGAGAGTTATTAAATGGAGAGTTAGAGGTATTGGGAAGATGGAAGGAATATTTTGAGGAATTGTTAAATGTTGATGAAGATAGGGAAGCTGTGATTTCGTGTATAGGGCAAGGAGGAATAACATCTTGTAGGAGTGAGGAAGAGCCAGTTGTGAGTGTGGGGGAAGTTCGTGAGGCAGTAGGTAAAATGAAAGGGGGTAAGGCAGCCGGGATTGATGGGATAAAGATAGAAATGTTAAAAGCAGGTGGGGATATAGTTTTGGAGTGGTTGGTGCAATTATTTAATAAATGTATGGAAGAGGGTAAGGTACCTAGGGATTGGCAGAGAGCATGCATAGTTCCTTTGTATAAAGGCAAAGGGGATAAAAGAGAGTGCAAAAATTATAGGGGGATAAGTCTGTTGAGTGTACCTGGTAAAGTGTATGGTAGTTATAATAATTGAAAGAATTAAGAGTAAGACGGAGAATAGGATAGCAGATGAACAAGGAGGCTTTAGGAAAGGTAGGGGGTGTGTGGACCAGGTGTTTACAGTGAAACATATAAGTGAACAGTATTTAGATAAGGCTAAAGAGGTCTTTGTGGCATTTATGGATTTGGAAAAGGCGTATGACAGGGTGGATAGGGGGGCAATGTGGCAGATGCTGCAAGTGTATGGTGTAGGAGGTAGGTTACTGAAAGCAGTGAAGAGTTTTTACGAGGATAGTGAGGCTCAAGTTAGAGTATGTAGGAAAGAGGGAAATTTTTTCCCAGTAAAAGTAGGCCTTAGACAAGGATGTGTGATGTCACCGTGGTTGTTTAATATATTTTAATATATTTATAGATGGGGTTGTAAGAGAAGTAAATGCGAGGGTCTTGGCAAGAGGCGTGGAGTTAAAAGATAAAGAATCACACACAAAGTGGGAGTTGTCACAGCTGCTCTTTGCTGATGACACTGTGCTCTTGGGAGATTCTGAAGAGAAGTTGCAGAGATTGGTGGATGAATTTGGTAGGGTGTGCAAAAGAAGAAAATTAAAGGTGAATACAGGAAAGAGTAAGGTTATGAGGATAACAAAAAGATTAGGTGATGAAAGATTGAATATCAGATTGGAGGGAGAGAGTATGGAGGAGGTGAACGTATTCAGATATTTGGGAGTGGACGTGTCAGCGGATGGGTCTATGAAAGATGAGGTGAACCATAGAATTGATGAGGGAAAAAGAGTGAGTGGTGCACTTAGGAGTCTGTGGAGACAAAGAACTTTGTCCTTGGAGGCAAAGAGGGGAATGTATGAGAGTATAGTTTTACCAACGCTCTTATATGGGTGTGAAGCATGGGTGATGAATGTTGCAGCGAGGAGAAGGCTGGAGGCAGTGGAGATGTCATGTCTGAGGGCAATGTGTGGTGTGAATATAATGCAGAGAATTCGTAGTTTGGAAGTTAGGAGGAGGTGCGGGATTACCAAAACTGTTGTCCAGAGGGCTGAGGAAGGGTTGTTGAGGTGGTTCGGACATGTAGAGAGAATGGAGCGAAACAGAATGACTTCAAGTGTATCAGTCTGTAGTGGAAGGAAGGCGGGGTAGGGGTCGGCCTAGGAAGGGTTGGAGGGAGGGGTAAAGGAGGTTTTGTGTGCGAGGGGCTTGGACTTCCAGCAGGCATGCGTGAGCGTGTTTGATAGGAGTGAATGGAGACAAATGGTTTTTAATACTTGACGTGCTGTTGGAGTGTGAGCAAAGTAACATTTATGAAGGGATTCAGGGAAACCGGCAGGCCGGACTTGAGTCCTGGAGATGGGAAGTACAGTGCCTGCACTCTGAAGGAGGGGTGTTAATGTTGCAGTTTAAAAACTGTAGTGTAAAGCACCCTTCTGGCAAGACAGTGATGGAGTGAATGATGGTGAGAGTTTTTCTTTTTCGGGCCACCCTGCCTTGGTGGGAATCGGCCGGTGTGATAATAAAATAAAAAAAATAATGCCTAGATGCCTAGGACAGTGTAGGCATTTGTGACTCTACTTACATTTTATTAAGTGCATGAATGGCAATGCCCCATGCGCCATGTTTGTTGGAGAGGATATTGGTAATTTTGTCTAGGATACGTGCAGCTACAACATTGTCTCTTCTGCGGGCAGCTGTTATTAAGTGATCACACATCTTCTCTTCTTCACGGCGCTCCAAGACTGTGGTGGCACATAAAGACTGGAAGCAAGTTAGAATGGTTAGTAACATATATTGTAGCATGATATAAATATCATTCCCCTTACAATGCAACAGAACAATCACACACATTAAAATTGTTTTTAAAATACACATCATCTCTTGCTAGGTTAGAGTGATCCAAAAACTAACATTCATCATCATTCATCCAACAGCTATCTTGCTAAGAGTGTGCAAACATAATTCAAAATGACCTACTGAACTGTAGCATACTCATCCCTCCTTCATAGTGCAGGCACTGTATGACTATCTCCAGCACTTTAGTTAATATGTTTCTCCCTGAATCTCATTATAAATGTGACTCTTGCTCACACTTCAACAGCATGTCAAGCCATGAAAACCACTTGTCACCACTTACTCTGCTCAAACATGCTTACACAACCTGCTGGATGATCAAGCTCCTAGCATTCAAAACTCCTTTACTCCCTCTCTCCACCCTTTCTTAGGACAACAATCCTCTAATTTCTATGCTCCAAATTCTCTGCATAATATTCACATAGCATGCATAATGCTATCAAACCATACCACAGGCGGGGATAGAACCCGCAATCAGAGAGTCTCTACTACCTCTAGCTTCCTTCTTATTGCAATATTTAAAGCCTGTGCCTCACACATTGGTTTGACAAACACTGAGCCATACTCTGGTACAGAATTTGTCAAGCCCATCTTGGAGTATGTAGCACTAGCATGGAAACCAGCATGGAACAAGGGGGAATGATTAGAAATTAAACATCTAAATGAGCCACAGGGATAACAGGATTTTTTAATAGAACAGTGGCAAATGAAAAATATAGCAGCAAATTTTATAAAGGGGTTCAATCAATCAGCCATGTCATGACCAAGAGCTGTAGCTCACCCCTCCACAAACTCAAATATGTATTTGCAGTATAGTTTAGATCTAACCCATTATCGTAAACTTTTTGTTTTTTCTCCTGGTCGTAAAATTAATTAGCCAAGCGCAAGATTCTCTTACTGTTGCATTTATATGGGTCACTAGTCATGATCTTATTTAGAATAAACCCCAGATTTTTTTCTTTTCAGCTGTTTTTAAGATTTTAAAATATTCTGTACTTCATCCATTTCCATTACAAGATATTTTGCATAATGAAATTCCATTACACACTTACATTCCACTTATTCTGTTTATCAAAATCTCACAGAAATTCTAGAGTCATGGTGATACTTAATCTTCCATTACATAATTTCATCATCTGCGAATATACTCATAATTATTCCTTATGGCAGATCAGTTACAAAAATCAATCAAGAACATAACTGTGGCCAATATTGATCAATGTAATACTCATCTAGAAACTCCAGGATAATTTATCTCTTATCACTGTTCTTTTCTATACCAACTGAAAATATTCCATCCACTGTAGTATTTTATGTTTTATACCAACTATTTCTTGTAATTTCAAAAGTATTCCATTACAAAATCAGCCCATCCAACTTTCATGAAAAGTTTCTTCGACTACCGTATAAACACTAAATAATTATACGTATATACAAAATTCTGCCAATCTAAAACTAAACTATTGGGTAGTTAACATATTACTTTCCTAACGCTTGCATATTTAACTTTAAGTTTACCATCATCATGGATAAATTATAAAAACTAATAATACTGATTCAAGAAAGTTAAAATGAATAATTAGTACAGTGGACCCTCAATAATCGTCCGGCCTGAAAGTCGTCCATTTCGGAAATAGTTGCGTTATTTCGTCTAAACATTGGCTCACAAATGGTCCGTTAACTCGCTAATCATCTTTCGTCCTGGACACATACTCACGGCTCTGAGCCGCATCGTCCTCCCTTCCCAGCCAGTGTGCCATTGTTTACCAGTGAGCGACAGTCCCCTCACCTGTTCATACGAAATATTTCATAATATTCCATTCATTTTAGTGCTTACAAGTGCTAAATAAGCTACCATGGCTCCAAAGAAAGCTCTTAGTGCCAAGCCTTTGGTAAAGAAGGTGAGAAATACGATTGAATTTAAGAAAAACATCATTGAACAATATGAAAGTGGCGTACGTGTGGGCGAACTGGCCAGGATGTATAACAAATCCCGTACAACCATATCTTCCATCATAGCCAAGAAAAAGGAAATCAAGGAAGCTGTTGTTGCAAAGGGGTAAATATGCTGACAAAAATGAGATCACCAGTACTCGAAGATGTTGAGAAGTTATTATTGGTGTGGATAAACAAGAAACAATTAGCAGGAGATAGTCTTATGACGTCGATTATTTGTGAAAAGGCTAGGCAGTTGCATGACGATTTGGTAAAGAAATTGCCTGCAACTAGTGGTGATGCGAGTGAATTTAAGGCCAGCAAAGGCTGGTTTGAGAAATTTAAGAAGTGTATTGGCATACACAGTGTGATAAGGCATGGTGAGGCTGCCAGTTCGGACCAAAAAGCGGCTGAAAAATATGTGCAGGAATTCAAGGAGTACATAGAGGCTGAAGGATTGAAACCTGAACAAGTGTTCAATTGTGACGAAACAGGCCTCTTTTGGAAGATAATGCCAAAGAGGACCTACATTACTTAGGAAGAAAAGGCACTGCCAGGGCACAAGCCTATGAAAGACAGGCTGATGCTCATGTTCTGTGCTAATGCTAGTGGGGATTTCCTCCTCCAGTCTTCCATGCACTAAGAAGAATCGCCAATAAAGGTAAGTGGTATGCTGTTAATGTTTCATTTATCATGTACTACATTTATTATGTACTACATCTATATTTCATGTAAAATTTTTTTCTGTTTTAATACTTCTGGGTGTCAGGAACGGATTAATTGTATTTACATTATTTCTTATGGGGAAAATTGATTCAAAAATCGTCTATTTCGATAATAGTCCCACTTCCAGGAACGGATTAAGGACGATAATTGAGGGACCACTGTATAAGAACTGAGAAATCAAGACTATAAATATTTTATATTCTCACCTCAAATTCAGCATGCTTAAGTACATCATCAGCTCTCATGCGGTTCAGGATAAATTCAGCTTCATTCGCCACACGCACTATATGGTCCTTCATGGCATGCGAGAGAAGCCTGAAGTTCAAGAGAAAGATACACAGGAAAGTGTTAGGGCAATTATGTTAGAGCAATAATATAAATGACATCTGGTCCTGTGGAGTTTCTGGGTCTTGGCCTTGCACATTCTTCCTCCAAGAATGTCCCCTATCCCATCTTCCCTTCAAGGCATCCAACTTCGCTCCATTCTCCTTAAATGTTCAAACCATCTCGTTAAACCCTTCTCAACTCTCTGGATAATACTTTTAGTAACCTCGAGCCTCCTCCTCATCTCCAAAGTGTGAATTCTCTGCATAATATTCCCACCATAAATTGCACTCAGACACAGCATCTCCATTGCTTCCAACCTCCTCCTCACTGCAACATTTAAAACCCATACTTCACACCCATATGTGTTGGTACCATTATACACTCACACCTTTTCCTTTTTGCCTCAATAGACAATATTCTTTGTCTCCACAGATACCTCAATGCACCACCCGCTTTTTTCCTCATTAATTCTGTGGTTTATCTCATCTTTCGTAGAACCGTCTGTTGACAAGTCAACTCCCAAATACCTGAACACATTCACTTGCTCCATACTACCTCCTTCCAATATCTATATGTTCATATATGCTTATCTATAATAATGCACAGTGCATTATGCAATATCATAAACAACAGTTGAGAGCACTTCCATCCCATGATACAAGATGGGAGTGAGAGGTTATAAAACAAAGTGACTACAGCAGAATGAAAACTTTATTAAGCAAACAGCAAACAATGTCCTAATAAAATCTCTATTCTGCTATTGTCTTTCTCATACATGAAGATTTTACATTATATATTTATTTCTGCCCTTCTGACATGACATCAAGGGACTCCAAATGCTGTATCATATGACTAAAGTATGGTGTCAAAGAACAAACATCCTCACACCTCACAAATTATATTCTCGTCCTACTACCAAGCTTTTATCTAGAAAGAAAAGAATGTAACTGACAGAAATATTTCTTAGTGTGTGCTACAGTACCATCTTCAACTAGAGCATTTATCAATACTAAACTCCAATTTTGTGCAAAATGTGGCATTAGTGCAATCAGCACTAATGCCACTGAGAGAAGAAATGGAATTACTGTCCCTGTAGGTAGTAGGTTGGTAGACAGCAACCACCCAGGGAGGTACTACCGTCCTGCCAAGTGAGTGTAAAACGAAAGCCTGTGATTGTTTTACATGATGGTAGGATTGCTGATGTCTTTTGTCTGTCTCATAAATATGCAAGATTACAGGTATGTCTTGCTACTTCTACTTACACTTAGGTCACACTACACATACATGTACACGTTTATTTATACACACTCATCTGAGTTTTCTTTGATTTTATCTTAATAGTTCTTGGTCTTATTACTTTTCCTTTTATATCCATGGGGAAGTGGAATAAGAATCTTTCCTCCGTAAGCCATGATTGTTGTAAAAGTCAACTAAAATGCTGGGAACAATGGGCTAGTAACCCCTTTTCCTGTAAAGATTACTAAAAAGAATAAGAAGAAGAAAATTGTCAAAGTGGGAAGTCTGAATGTGCGTGGATGTTGTGCAGATGATAAGAAAGAGATGATTGTGGATGTTATGAATGAGAAGAAGCTGGATGTCCTGGCTTTAAGTGAAACAAAGCTGAAGGGGGTGGGAGAGTTTCAGTGGAGAGGAATAAATGGGATTAGGTCAGGGGTTTCAAATAGAGTTAGAGCTAAAGAAGGAGTAGCAATAATGTTGAAGGATAAGCTATGGCAGGAAAAGAGGGACTATAAATGTATTAATTCAAGGATTATGTGGAGTAAAATAAAGATTGGATGTGAAAAGTGGGTTATAATAAGCGTGTTTGCACCTGGAGAAGAGAGAAGTGTAGAGAAGAGAGAGAGATTTTGGGATATGTTGAGTGAATGCGTGGGGAGTTTTGAATCAAGTGAGAGTAATGGTGGTTGAGGATTTCAATGCTAAAGTGGGTAAAAATGTTATGGAGGGAGTAGCAGGTAAATTTGGGGTGCCAGGGGTAAATGTAAATGGGGAGCCTTTAATTGAGCTATGTGTAGAAAGAGATTTGGTAATAAGTAATACATATTTTATGAAAAAGAGGATAAATAAATATGCAAGGTATGATGTAGCACGTAATGAAAGTAGTTTATTAGATTATGTATTGGTGGATAAAAGGTTGATGGGTAGGCTCCAGGTTGTACATGTTTATAGAGGGGCAACTGATATATCGGATCATTATTTAGTTGTAGCTACAGTTAGAGTAAGAGGTAGATGGGAAAAGAGGAAGGTGGCAACAACAAGTAAGAGGGAGGTGAAAGTGTATAAACTAAGGGAGGAGGAAGTTCGGGTGAGATATAAGCGACTATTGGCAGAAAGGTGGGCTAGTGCAAAGATGAGTAGTGGGGGGGTTGAAGAGGGTTGGAATAGTTTTAAAAATGCAGTATTAGAATGTGGGGCAGAAGTTTGTGGTTATAGGAGGGTGGGGGCAGGAGGAAAGAGGAGTGATTGGTGGAATGATGAAGTAAAGGGTGTGATATAAGAGAAAAAGGTAGTTTATGAGATGTTTTTACAAAGCAGAAGTGTTATAAGAAGAGCAGAGTATATGGAGAGTAAAAGAAAGGTAAAGAAAGTGGTGAGAGAGTGCAAAAGGAGAGCAGATGATAGAGTGGGAGAGGCACTGTCAAGAAATTTTAATGAAAATAAGAAACAATTTTGGAGTTAAACAAGTTAAGAAAGCCTAGGGAAAGTATGGATTTGTCAGTTAAAAACAGAGTAGGGGAGTTAGTAGATGGGGAGATGGAGGTATTAGGTAGATGGCGAGAATATTTTGAGGAACTTTTAAATGTTAAGGAAGAAACAGAGGCAGTAATTTCATGCACTGGTCAGGGAGGTATACCATCTTTTAGGAGTGAAGAAGAGCAGAATGTAAGTGTGGGGGAGGTGCGTGAGGCATTACATAAAATGAAAGGGGGTAAAGCAGCTGGAACTGATGGGATCATGACAGAAATGTTAAAAGCAGGGGGCATATAGTGTTGGAGTGGTTGGTACTTTTGTTTAATAAATGTATGAAAGAGGGGAAGGTACCTAGGGATTGGCGGAGAGCATGTATAGTCCCTTTATAAAGGGAAAGGGGACAAAAGAGACTGTAAAAATATAGAGGAATAAGTTTACTGAGTATACCAGGAAAAGTGTACGGTAGGGTTATAATTGAAAGAATTAGAGGTAAGACAGAATGTAGGATTGCGGATGAGCAAGGAGGTTTCAGAGTGGGTAGGGGATGTGTAGATCAAGTGTTTACATTAAAGCATATATGTGAACAGTATTTAGATAAAGGTAGGGAAGTTTTTATTGCATTTATGGATTTAGAAAAGGCATATGATAGAGTGGATAGAGGAGCAATGTGGCAGATGTTGCAAGTATATGGAATAGGTGGTAAGTTATTAAATGCTGTAAAGAGTTTTTATGAGGATAGTGAGGCTCAGGTTAGGGTGTGTAGAAGAGAGGGAGACTACTTCCCGGTAAAAGTAGGTCTTAGACAGGGATGTGTAATGTCACCATGGTTGTTTAATATATTTATAGATGGGGTTGTAAAGGAAGTAAATGCTAGGGTGTTCGGGAGAGGGGTGGGATTAAATTTTGGGGAATCAAATTCAAAATGGGAATTGACACAGTTACTTTTTGCTGATGATACTGTGCTTATGGGAGATTCTAAAGAAAAATTGCAAAGGTTAGTGGATGAGTTTGGGAATGTGTGTAAAGGTAGAAAGTTGAAAGTGAACATAGAAAAGAGTAAGGTGATGAGGGTGTCAAATGATTTAGATAAAGAAAAATTGGATATCAAATTGGGGAGGAGGAGTATGGAAGAAGTGAATGTTTTCAGATACTTGGGAGTTGACGTGTCGGCGGATGGATTTATGAAGGATGAGGTTAATCATAGAATTGATGAGGGAAAAAAGGTGAGTGGTGCGTTGAAGTATATGTGGAGTCAAAAAACGTTATCTATGGAGGCAAAGAAGGGAATGTATGAAAGTATAGTAGTACCAACACTCTTATATGGGTGTGAAGCTTGGGTGGTAAATGCAGCAGTGAGGAGACGGTTGGAGGCAGTGGAGATGTCCTGTATAAGGGCAATGTGTGGTGTAAATATTATGCAGAAAATTCGGAGTGTGGAAATTAGGAAAAGGTGTGGAGTTAATAAAAGTATTAGTCAGAGGGCAGAAGAGGGGTTGTTGAGGTGGTTTGGTCATTTAGAGAGAATGGATCAAAGTAGAATGACATGGAAAGCATATAAATCTATAGGGGAAGGAAGGCGGGGTAGGGTTCGTCCTTGAAAGGGTTGGAGAGAGGGGGTAAAGGAGGTTTTGTGGGCAAGGGGCTTGGACTTCCAGCAAGCATGCGTGAGCATGTTAGATAGGCGTGAATGGAGACGAATGGTACTTGGGACCTGACGATCTGTTGGAGTGTGAGCAGGGTAATATTTAGTGAAGGGATTCAGGGAAACCGGTTATTTTCATATAGTCGGACTTGAGTCCTGGAAATGGGAAGTACAATGCCTGCACTTTAAAGGAGGGGTTTGGGATATTGGCAGTTTGGAGGGATATGTTGTATGTGTATGCTTCTAAACTGTTGTATTCTGAGCACCTCTGCAAAAACAGTGATAATGTGCGAGTGTGGTGAAAGTGTTGAATGATGATGAAAGTATTTTCTTTTTGGGGATTTTCTTTCTTTTTTTGGGTCACCCTGCCTCGGTGGGAGACGGCCGACTTGTTGAAAAAAAAAAAAAAAAAAAAGTACTCAGAGCATCCCAGTAATGCTTAATTATGCATTACTTTTCCACCAAAATTAACCCTTAAACTGTCCTAACATAGATCTACATTTTCTTGCCCAGCACTCTGAATATTAAAAAAAAAAAACTTTTTTTTTAAATGAAAGGGCATTATTCTATGTGTTATAAGATTAAAAAATATTTAGGGTCAGTAGTACTTACTGAGATGTAAGCCTGCAAAGTTGGTGCTGGATGCTCACCTGATGGCAACATGGAGTCCTGCCGCTTGCAGATGTACCTTTTTCTCTCATTTTTTTTATTATTTTATATAATTTTATGTTCTAATAATTGCAATTTATAGTAGTTCTTGTGATTTCATAGCCAATCTTTGTTCTAATACTAATATTAGGTATTGAAATTGTACTCCAATAGTCACAAACACATTGACAGGTGAACATTTTCACCTGCCTTGGTCATTAACTATTGTCTAGAAATATGTACAGTATTTATAGGTCCCAGAAACGTTTTAGACACGTTGGAATATATATGAAACTCCTTGAAGCATGGTGTAAGACTGAGTGTCACTGAACTGCTGACAGTGCAGCTGTGGTCTGACACTTGATGATCATGCATTGCTGCAGGGAACCCCTGACTTTGTTTTCACCCTTACACATAAACATGTCTGTCTGTCTGTCTGTCTAGCTCTGTCTGCCTGTGTGTGTGTGTGTCTGTCTTTCTGTCTGCTTGTCTGTCTCAGAAAGCGGCTCATGAACCAACAGTTATTACACACGATGCAATTACGTCTGATTCCTGACCAAGTGAACATGGTATTATTTGCCAGCCATGCTCATTATGCCTTATATCAACAAGCACGGTGTATAGCACTGGATTTTTTGGGTTATCCTAAGTAATTTACACTATATATGATAACTGTATTCATGTATACCTGTGAGAGAGAGAGAGTCAGAGTCAGACAGAGACTGAAAGATACAGCCAAAGTAGGCCGGCCGGCCTGACAAATATGTATTACACATGTTCCAGAATCATTTTTCTTTACTTAGGGCATAGGTTATAGGACATTCTGGCAGGATGACACTACCAGTGGTATCAAAAATGAAAGGATGTTGCACAAATATTGCACATGGGTTATTATTGAAGTTTTTGATATGGTGGAACCCAGGCTTATGAGTGTCCCACCATACGAATTTTTCAGGATATGTTCGAGCAGTCACTTGGTTGATTGTTCGTTACTGGATACGAGCAAAAATTCAGGAAGTGAGATAACCCCTCAAACAACTTTTTTTTAGATTTCCAGATCTTACAAAAATGAAAGTGAATATATAATTGTAGTTCATTATCATGATATGTTGTTTTTGCTGCTTAAGACTATAATTTCAACAGAAATAATAGTATTTCTTACCTTAAATTGTGGGTGTGGTGTTTGTCGATGATTGTGAAGAGAGTAGAGAGTTATGCTGTGGCCCTACTGGGCTGAGGTGGACAGTAGAGGATCTGGAACTGAAGTCGATGGTTGTACTGGAGTGTGCATAAATTCTGTAATGGATTTCTGTTCTATTTTACCCTGCAGTACATTATACAACTGATGGTAAGGCATCAGCTGCTCTAGACACCATTTCAGGGTCCTCTTCAGTGAAAAGGTCTAACTTTAAGTCACTCAGTCAGTCAGTCAAGTCAGTAAGTTTTTACAGTAAGTCAGTCATTCAATAAGTCAGTAAGTCAGCAACACTGGTATGCCTACTGGGTGGTAGGTAAGACACATAGACAACAGTTAGGCAACTTTATTCCAAAGCGTTTCGCCTACACAGTAGGCTTCTTCAGTCGAGTACATGAAGTAGGCAGGAGCAGTAGAGATGTGAAGACGATGTAATCAGTCCATCACCCTTGAAGTCATAGATTTGAGGTTGGCAGTCTCTCAGCCTGGAGAAGAGTTCTGTTCCATAATCTGAAACAATCTGAAGATCAAGCGACAGTGTGGAGACTTATATAGTGTTGGAAGGAGTGGTGTATAGTAGTAGTAGAGAGAATGTAGCCACTGAGAGGTCATGTCCCTCTCAGATCAAACAGCTCTCAATTGAAAGAGATGTCCAAGGTGTTTTCTCTTCTGTACTAAGATGCCATTGTGTTGCAGTGTCTGACAGAATGATTATCAAAATAAAGTTGCCTAACTGTTGCCTGTGTGTCTTACCTACCAACCTGTCAGTATTGTATACCATATTGATAATCACTCTGTCAAGACACTGCAACACAATGGCATCTTGGTACAGAAGAGAAGACACCTTGGACAACTCTTTCAAGTGAGAATTGTTTGATCTGAGAGGGACATGACCTCTCAGTGGCTACATTCTCTACTACTACTACTCTGCATCTCTCCCTCCAACAGTATACAAGTCTCCACACTGTTGCTTGACCTTCAGATTGTTTCAGACTATGGAACAGAACTCTTCTCCAGGCTGAGGGACTGACAACCTCAAATCTATGACTTCAAGGGTGAAGGACTGATTACATCGTCTTCACATCTCTACTGCTCCTGCCTACTTCCTGTACTCGACTGAAGAAGCCTACTGTGTAGGTGAAATGTTTTGGAATAAAGTTGTCTAACTGTTGCCTATGTGCCTTACCTACCAACCTGTTGGTATTATATACCATTTTGATAATCGTGCCTACTGGGTGTCATGATTGCTTGGCAGATACAAGATGCGATAATTAAAAGATCAAAACGCAATTCACAAACATAGCTAGCTTGTAGGAGAGAAGTAGAACTGAACACGTATTCACGAAGCTGGGATGGTGGTGTTGGGAGTTTGGGAGTGTCGGGAGGTCTCCCCCGCTGACCCACAACAAGGTGGCCGCTTGAGGTAGGGAATGGCCGCCACCACTTGTCATATAATGACATATTTTATTCATTTTAGAGTATATATCAGGTTTCTATGTTATTTTTATTCTTTATTATGTCATATTAGATAAATTGTGATAGATAAATAAACTGTAGAGTTGATATTAACATCTTACTGAAGTATTTTTGTCCTGCCTCCTAGAGCAGAAATTCTGCTGGATCGGATTAATGGCATTTCCATTAATTTAAATGAGGAAAACTGACTCAGCATACAAGCAGATTGGGATACGAGCAAGGTCATGGAACGAATTAAACTCGTAAGCCGAGGGTCCACTGTATTTTCTCGATCACTTGTGGCCACATCCATCTCAAAGCCACTAAGCTTTGAAGCAACATCACTTTCCTCTTAAAAAGGGAGTGTTAATACGACATGACATCAGTGAATCCCTAGTGTTTGCCACGCTTTTTGCTCTAGCTGGCATTCAATTGAACTGGCGCTTCCACAAGATACTAAGTGGTCCCAGATTTTTTTAACACTGCACACACCAAATGTTAAGACTCATTCTATACTGACCAGGCATCTCAGGCCAATCGTGCCAAATTTGGAGGCAGGAAAAATAAAACGTAGATTTACGTTTGGAGTGCTAGCAGTACAAATGTAGATCTACGTTTGGACAGTTTAAGGGTTAAACTATGCCTCAAATATGTCACAAAAAACCCATATTTTTACTATTATGCAGCATAAAAAAAATATTTTTTTTTTTTCAACAAGTCGGCCATCTCCCACCGAGGCAGGGTGACCCAAAGAGAAAGAAAATCCCCAAAAAGAAAATACTTTCAGCATCATTCAACACTTTCACCTCACTCACACATAATCACTGTTTTTGCAGAGGTGCCCAGAATACAACAGTTTAGAAGTATATACGTATAAAAATACACAATATAACTCTCCAAACTGCCAATATCCCAAACCCCTCCTTTAGAGTGCAGCCATTGTACTTCCTATTTCCTGGACTCAAGTCCAGTTATATAAAATAACCGGTTTCCCTGAATCCCTTCACTAAATATCACCCTGCTCACACTCCAACAGATCGTCAGGTCCCAAATACCATTTGTCTCCATTCACTCCTATCTAACACGCTCACGCACGCTTGCTGGAAGTCCAAACCCCTCGCCCACAACACCTCCTTTACCCCCTCCCTCCAACCTTTCTGAGGATGATCCCTACCCCGCCTTCCTTCCCCTACAGATTTATACGCTCTCCATGTCATTATACTTTGATCCATTCTCTCTAAATGACCAAACCACCTCAACAAACCCTCTTCAGCCCTCTGATTAATACTTTTATTAACTCCACACCTTCTCCTAATTTCCACACTCCGAATTTTCTGCATAATATTTACACCACACATTGCTATTAGACAGGACATCTCCACATTCAAGTTAACTGAGATCATTCTAAAGGAATAGTTGACTTACATACATACCTTCCCTCATTAATTAGTTCTATAAAGGCAAGTCCTGCATGTTTCTGAAGGGAGTTCTGCCACTCCTGAGAACACAGCAGCATAACCAACTCAACCACACTCTGACTGTGCTTGAATGTCATTAAACCTGTTGAGGAAGACAATTAATATGCTGTTAAATAAAAGAAAGAACAAATATATACTGGTAATAAAGAAATGTTAGTTTTCTGCATTGTGAATCTACGTTATATGAATAACTATAGGGAGAAATTCAATCTTACATGTAAAATTTAAAAAAGCATGAAGGAAAATCTTCCATGAATGCTGTGAAATAACAATATTTTAATTTTATGCTTTTTTATTAGTAAATAAACATAAAAAAATAGGCAAACTCAATTAATCCCCCCCAAAAATAACCAAAACAGTACTTTTTATAAGAAACTATGGATCACATTTTGGTCCTTCATGGACTACAGTGGAACCTCGTTTTTTGGCCCCTGTGTTTATCACATTTAGGCCGGTTTTTCAGCAGAAATTTTGCTCTGTATTTCGGCCATTGCCTCATACATCAGCAGTATCAGATGCGTTATCCTGCCTCTCCCAGCAGGACGCCGCACTTTGGTGAGTCAGTCTCCTTTTGTCTGTCAGCGAGTGAGCATGTACTCTTCACATTCATCCAAACATTTCCTTAAAATCCATTGTTTTTGGTGGTTTTTTATTAAATGCGACTGTGAAATAGTCACCATGGGCCCAAAGAAAGTTCCTAGTAAAGTTCCTTTGGTAAAGAAAGTGAGAAACACGACGGAATTTAAGAAGTAATAGAGAAATATGAAAGTCCTGTGCGGGTGCTCCAGCTTGCCAGGATGTATGGAGAAAACAAATCAACAATCACTTCTATCCTGGCAAAGAAAGAACAAATCAAGGAAGCTGATGTGGCAAAAGGGGTAAACATGTTAACAAAAAAGAGATCCCAGACAAATGAAAAAACAGAGAGGTGGTTGTTCTTGTGGATCAGGGAAAAACAGTTAGAAGGAGAGTGTTTCAGAGACGATCATTTGTAAAAAGGCAAGGCAGTTGCATGCAGATCTTGTAAAGAAAATGCCTGGTACTAGTGATGATGTTGTGAATTTAAGGCCAGCAGAGACTGGTTTGAGAGATTTAAGAAGCGTAGTGGCATACACAGTGTTGCAAGGCATGTTGAAGCTGCAAGTACTGACAGATGTGCAGCTGAAAAATTTGTACAGGAATTCAAGAGGGATGTAGATGCTGAAGAATTCCAACACCAACAAGTGTTCAATTGTGACGAAACAGGCCTCTTTTAGAAGAAAATGCCAAAGAGGACCTACATCATGGAGGAGGAAAAGGCACTGCCAGGGAACAAGAAAATGAGAGATAGGCTAACTCTTTCGTTCTGTGTTAACGGTAGTGGGGATTTCAAAGTGAAGCCTTTACTGGTGTATCACTCTAAAAATCCCAGAGTGTTCAAGAAAAACAACGTCGTCAAGAGTAAATTGTGTGTGATGTGGAAAGCTAATCATAAGGCATGGGTTACAAGGCAACTTTTCATTGACTGGGTCCATGAAGTGTTTGGCATGAGTGTGGAATTTTTTTTTTTTCAACAAGTTGGCCATCTCCCATCAAGGCAGGGTTACCCAAAAAGAAAATACTTTCATCATTCAACACTTTCATCTCACTCATACATAATCACTGTTTTTGCAGAGGTGCCCAGAACATAACAGTTTAGAAGCATATACGTATAAAGATATACAACAACAAAAAAAAAACACCTCCTGAAAAATAAATTGCCACTCAAGTGCCTCCTGGTAATGGACAATGCTCCTGCTCATCCTCCAAACATGGTAGACCAATTGTCTAGGGATTTCCATTTTATAACAGTGAAATTCTTGCCTCCTAACACCACTCCTCTCATCCAGCCCATGGACCAGCAGGTCATTTCTAACTTCAAAAAACTCTAACACAAAAGCAGTTTCAAAAGTGCTTTGAAGTGACCTCAGACACTGAACTGACCCTAAGAGAGTTCTGGAGAAATCACTTCAATATCTACAACTGCATAAGCCTTATTGGCAAGGCTTGGCAGAGAGTGACTTCCAGGACTTTGAACTCTTCTTGGAGACAACTGTGGCCAGACTGTGTCTTCGAGCCTAATTTTGAAGGGTTTGAAGCTGACCCTGACCCTGTCACCCCTCTGCCTGTTGTGGAATCTATTGTAGCATTGGGGAAGTCCATGGGGTTGGATGTGAGTGGCAAGGATGTGGAAGAGTTGGTGGAGGACCACAGGGAAGAGCTAACCACTGAAGAGCTGCAACACCTTCAACTGGAACAGCAACAGACCACAGCTGAGGAACTTGCTTCAGAGGAGGAGGAGGAGGAAGAGAGAGGAAAGGATGTGTCTTCTTCAGTGATTAAGGACACGTGTGCAAAGTGGAATGAGTTGCAAACTTTTGTGGAGAAATATCACCCTGACCAAGCTGAAACAAGCCATATCTGCAACATGTTCAGTGACAAAACCTTGTCCCATTTTAGGGAAATCTTAAAGAGATGCCAGAAACAGAGAGCTCTGGACAGTTATTTTGTGCAACAGGGGTCCAGTGACTCTCAAGCTAGTCTTAGTGGCATTAAAAAACAAAGAAGGGAAGTAACCCCAGAGAGGGACTTGTTACCTAAATTCCTTATGGAGGGGGATTTCCCTTCCAAACAATAACCCCAACTCCCTCCCTCCTCCTCCCTATCTTCCATAAGCCAACAAGAGTCTTCAATAAAAGTATGTAATAGTGATTTAATTGTTCATGTATTTATTTTATTTAGTTCACATTGCTTTATGTAAAACTATACTTAATCATTTAAAAATGTATTTTTTGTTAATATTTTTGGGTGTCTGGAATGGATTAATTGTTTTTTTTTTTTTTTTTTTTTTTCAACAAGTCGGCCGTCTCCCACCGAGGCAGGGTGACCCAAAAAAGAAAGAAAATCCCCAAAAAGAAAATACTTTCATCATCATTCAACACTTTCACCACACTCGCACATTATCACTGTTTTTGCAGAGGTGCTCAGAATACAACAGTCTAGAAGCATAAACATATAAAGATACACAACATATCCCTCCAAACTGCCAATATCCCAAACCCCTCCTTTAAAGTGCAGGCATTGTACTTCCCATTTCCAGGACTCAAGTCCGACTATATGAAAATAACCGGTTTCCCTGAATCCCTTCACTAAATATTACCCTGCTCACACTCCAACAGATCGTCAGGTCCCAAGTACCATTCGTCTCCATTCACTCCTATCTAACACGCTCACGCACGCTTGCTGGAAGTCCAAGCCCCTTACCCACAAAACCTCCTTTACCCCCTCTCTCCAACCCTTTCGAGGACGACCCCTACCCCGCCTTCCTTCCCCTATAGATTTATATGCTTTCCATGTCATTCTACTGTGATCCATTCTCTCTAAATGACCAAACCACCTCAACAACCCCTCTTCTGCCCTCTGACTAATACTTTTATTAACTCCACACCTTCTCCTAATTTCCACACTCCGAATTTTCTGCATAATATTTACACCACACATTGCCCTTAAACAGGACATCTCCGCTGCCTCCAACCGTCTCCTCGCTGCTGCATTTACCACCCAAGCTTCACACCCATATAAGAGTGTTGGTACTACTATACTTTCATACATTCCCTTCTTTGCCTCCATAGATAACGTTTTTTGACTCCACATATACCTCAACGCACCACTCACCTTTTTTCCCTCATCAATTCTATGATTAACCTCATCCTTCATAAATCCATCCGCCGACACGTCAACTCCCAAGTATCTGAAAACATTCACTTCTTCCATACTCCTCCTCCCCAATTTGATATCCAATTTTTCTTTATCTAAATCATTTGACACCCTCATCACCTTACTCTTTTCTATGTTCACTTTCAACTTTCTACCTTTACACACATTCCCAAACTCATCCACTAACCTTTGCAATTTTTCTTTAGAATCTCCCATAAGCACAGTATCATCAGCAAAAAGTAACTGTGTCAATTCCCATTTTGAATTTGATTCCCCATAATTTAATCCCACCCCTCTCCCAAACACCCTAGCATTTACTTCCTTTACAACCCCATCTATAAATATATTAAACAACCATGGTGACATTACACATCCCTGTCTAAGACCTACTTTTACCGGGAAGTAGTCTCCCTCTCTTCTACACACCCTAACCTGAGCCTCACTATCCTCATAAAAACTCTTTACAGCATTTAATAACTTACCACCTATTCCATATACTTGCAACATCTCCCACATTGCTCCTCTATCCACTCTATCATATGCCTTTTCTAAATCCATAAATGCAATAAAAACTTCCCTATCTTTATCTAAATACTGTTCACATATATGCTTCAATGTAAACACCTGACTACACATCCCCTACCCACTCTAAAACCTCCTTGCTCATCCGCAACCCTACATTCTGTCTTACCTCTAATTCTTTCAATTATAACCCTACCGTACATTTTTCCCTGGTATACTCAGTAAGCTTATTCCTCTATTAATTTTTACAGTCTCTTTTGTCCCCTTTCCCTTTATATAAAGGGACTATACATGCTCTCTGCCAATCCTAGGTACCTTCCCTCTTTCATACATTTATTAAACAAAAGTACCAACCACTCCAACACTATATCCCCCCCTGCTTTTAACATTTCTGTCATGATCCCATCAGTTCCAGCTGCTTTACCCCCTTTCATTTTACATTAATTCTTATGTGATTATTACTTCGAATTTAGGCCGACCTTCTGTAACGGATTATGGCCAAAAAACGAGGTTACACTGTATTATCAAGTTACAATCCAGCTGTGACTTGATAACCTGATAATAGTCCAGGATATGTACACTGAAACATTAATTAAAGTTTCCTCTCTAGTATTGATTTTTACAAAGTTCTGTTAAATGTCTTATATTTAACTACGTTGTGCCAGTAATTGTGCATCAAAATGATTGAAAAAAATGTGATAGGGAAAGGACAGTCTGTTTAGTGAAGTTTGGTAATTAAATACAATTAGAACAAGAAATGTATTTGTATAGTTTTGTGGAGAAGTCTTGTAACTTTAACATCCTTCCTTCATGATTCATACCATGCTACTGACTGCATACACTTAGCACTCCAAATACATACATGATCTTGGTAATATGCACATTCAGAGAGTTACATCTGTATTTCATAGAATCATGCATAATTTTAATACGGTGGAGCCTCAGTTTTCGCATGCCCTAGGTTGTATGTAAAACTATAGTTATTCTCTATAAAATGTATTTTTATGTTAATATTTCCCATAAGAAAAAATGTAAATACAAATACTCCATTCTAGACACCCAAAAATATTAAAAAAAAAAAAATACATTTTATAGAGAATAACTATAGTTTTACATACAAACCAGGGCATACGAAATCCGAGGTTCCACTGTGCAATGTGCATTGCCATTGACTAAGTAAACATGCATAGTGCTAAAAAATAAAAAAAATACTATTACTAAAGAAAGACACTGTTGTATGCATTACATGATATTCAGTAAAACTATATACTTTCCCATTTTAAAATAAAAAAACAGAAATATAAACACATTTTTTGTTTATTTTGCATCATGATATTGTACTTCCACACAGTTTTGTAAATTTAAGTACTTTATATCTAATATATATATATCTTTTTTTGTAACACGTCGGCTGTTTCTCATTTAGGCAGGGTGACCCAAAAACAAAGAAAAACCCAAAAAAGCAAAAAACTTTCATTATCATTCAACACTTTCACCATCACTCATATGTAATCACTGTCTTTGCAGAGGCACTCAGATATGACAGTTTAGATGTCCCTCCAAACTGCCAATATCCCAAACCCCTCCTTCACAGTCCATGCACTGTACTTCCCATCTCCAGGACTCAAGTCCGGCTAACCAGTTTCCCTGAATCCCTTCACAAAATATTACCCTGCTCACACTCCTATTACATTTTCCTATTGCTCAGATTTATTTTATACAATTCTCCAGTTATTTTTACATAATATACACACAATATAATATGCAAATACAGTACTCTTAATGGCACAAACTGCCTAGTTTGTAAACAATATTCAACCCCTTCCTGTAGTCCAGCTATCAGAGATGCCTGTTCTCTTACCTAGTTCTTTTTTAATTTAAACATTCAATCATAACTTCCAGATAATCACTGGATGGATAACAGGTATACAGTGTACCTCAAAAGAAATGTAGATGTAGGACATTTTATATTTTTTATTAAGTAATGAAAAAACATGCTTCAAACATAAAATCCTCATAAGCTATACAGAATGCTATCAAGTGCTTAGTGCATTTCAGTGCTCTACAAGTTCAAAAAATAACTGATTAAAAATTACTGTTTCAAAAGGCTGTCTGGGGATGATGTCACCACAGTACATCAAGGAGAGATGGAATATCCACACCACGAATAAAGGAAAAAAGAACCCCACAGCCTCACCTTTACCTTCCATGAGTAGCTCCTGGCCATGAGAACCAACAAGGGTCTTGGAGAGAAATGGAGCAAAATCCACCATTATCTCCCGCAGAAGAGGGGATACAGATCCCAGAGCCATCTCTAACTTCTGAGTGAGAGATGCCTCACGAGATGGTGTTGGAATGGGCAAGTCAGAGTGGAGAAATGGCTTGATGTTGAGGTCTTCTGGTCGGTGGTGCTTTACAGTGGAAGTTACTGGATCAGGTATATTGGACGGAGAAGAGAGTACAGAAATTTGACCAGAAAGCTGTTGTTGAGGATCTGGCTGTGATATAGGTTGTGGTTGTGATAGCTGTGACTGTGACTGTTGGCTAGGCAATGGCTGTGTTTGAAGCTGTGGCATTTCACCAGTCTCTGTCACACCATACACTGTAAAAAAAAAATGATTATTAAGTTATATGACAATTTTTATATTTTAAGGACAATAACTGATTTTTTTATTTTTTAAAAGAACATAATTTCCAGAAGTCTGATTATTTACAATCAGAGTAATCTCCAACTGCAACATTCCCACCCCTCCTTCAAAGTGTAGGCAATGCCCATCCCACCTCCAAGATTCTGAGTCCAGTTAACTGGTTCTATGAATCTCTTCATAAAAGTTACCTTGCTCATGCTCCATCAGCACATCCCTTAATGACCACATGTACAATTATTGAACTGTTATTGCCTTATTGATCTTAAGTTAGTCTTAAGTTTACCTGAAATGCTCTGCATATAAAGGGGCTTTTGGCATGCACACCCAATTGTTATACTCTTTACACATGCTAAAATAAAAATTATTATTATTATTATTATTTTTACAAAGCAGAAGTGTTGTAAGAAGAGCAGAGTATATGGAGAGTAAAATAAAGGTGAAGAGAGTGGTGAGAGAGTGCAAAAGGAGACCAGAAGAAAGAGTGGGAGAGGCACTGACAAGAAATTTTGCTGAAAATTAGAAAAAATTTTTTGGAGATAAACAAGTTAAGAAACCCTAGGAAACAAATAGATTTGTCAGTTAAAAACAGAGTAGGGGAGTTAGTAGATGTGGAGCTGGAGGTCTTGGGTAGATGGCAGGAATATTTTGAGGAACTTTTAATTGTCGATGAAGAAAAGGAGGCGGTAATTTCATGCAATGGTCAGGGAGGTATACCATCTCTTTGGAGTGAAGAAGAGCAGGATGTGAGTGTGGGGGAGGTGCATGAGGCATTACGTAGAATGAAAAGGGGTAAAGCAGCTGGAACTGACGGGATCATGATAAATGTTAAAAGGATGGGGGGGGGGGATATTGTGTTGGAGTGGTTGGTATTTTTGTTTAATAAATGAAAGAAAGAGGGGAAGGTACCTAGGGATTGGCAGACAGCATGTATAGTTCCTTTATATAAAGGTAAGGGGGACAAAATAGATTGTAAAAATTATTGGTGAATAAGTTTACAGATTATACCAGGTAAAGTGTACAGTAGGGTTATTATTCAAAAAATTAAAGGTAAGACAGAGAGTAGGATTGCAGATGAACAAGGAAGCTTTAGAGTGGGTAGGGGATGTGTAAAGACAGAGAGTAGGATTGCAGATGAACAAGGAAGCTTTAGAGTGGGTAGGGGATGTGTAGATCAAGTGTTTACATTGAAGCATATATGTGAACAGTATTTAGATAAAGGTAGGGAAGTTTTCATTGCATTTAAGGATTTAGAAAAGGCATATGATAGAGTGGATAGAGGAGAAATGTGGCAGATGTTGCAAGTGTATGGAATAGGTGGTAAGTTATTAAATGCTGTAAAGAGTTTTTTATGAGGATAGTGAGGCTCAGGTTAGGGTGTATAGGAGAGGGGGAGATTACTCGGTAAAAGTAGGTCTCAGACAGGAATGTGTAATATCACCATGGTTGTTTAATATTTTTATAGATGGGTTTGTAAAAGAAGTAAATGCTAGGGTGTTGGGGAGAGGAGTGGGATTAAATTATGGGGAATCAAGTACAAAATGGGAGTTGACACAGTTACTTTTTGCTGATGATACTGTGCTTATGGGAGATTCTAAAGAAAAGTTTCAAAGGTTAGTGGACAAGTTTGGGAGGGTGTGTAAAGGTAGAAAATTGAAAGTGAACATAGATAACAGTAAGGTGATGAGGGTATCAAATGATTTAGATAAAGAAAAACTGGATATCACATTGGAAAGAGGGAGTATGGAAGATGTGAATGTTTTCATATATTTGGGATTTGACTTGTCAGTGGATGGGTTTATGAAGGATGAGGTTAACCATAGAATTTATGAAGAAAAAAGGTGAGTGGTGTGTTGAGGTATCTGTGGAGACAAAAAAACATTATCTATGGAAGCAAAGAAGGGAATGTATGAAAGTATAGTGGTACCAACACTCTTACATGGGCATGAAGCTTGGGTTGTAAATGCTGCAGCAAGGAGGTGGCTAGAGGCAGTGGAGATGTCCTGTCTAAGGGCAATGTGTGGTGTAAATATTATGCAGAGAATTCGGAGTGTGGAAATTAGGAGGAGGTGTAGAGTTACTAAAAGTATTAGTCAGAGGGCTGAAGAGGGGTTGTTGAGGTGGTTTGGTCATTCAGAGAGAATGGATCAAAGTAGAATGACTTGGAGAGCATATAAATCTGTAGGGGGAAGGAAGGAGGGGTAGGGATCATCCCCAAAAAGGTTGGAGGGAAGGGGTAAAAGAGGTTTTGTGGACAAGGGGCTTGGACTTCCAGCAAGCGTGTATGAGCATGTTAGATAGGAGTAAATGGAGACGAATGGATTTTGGGACTAGATGAGCTGTTGAGTGTGAGCAGGTTAATATTTAGTGAAGGAATTCAGGGAAACCGGTTATTACAGATTTAGCCAGACTTGAGTCCAGGAAATGGGAAGTACAATGCCTGCACTTTAAAGGAGGGGTCTGAGATATTGACAGTTTGGAGGGACTTCTAAATTGCCGTATCTGAGCGTTTCTGCAAAGACAGTGATTATGTATGAGTAAGGTGAAAGTGTTGAATGATGATGAAAGTATTTTCTTTTTGGGAATTTTCTTTCTTTTTGGGTCACCTTGCCTCGGTGGGAGACAGCCAACTTGTTGGGAAGAAAAAAAAAAAAACACTCCAATCCCAAAATCATAACAAATAAAAGTTAATGAATTATGTCTTCATTAGCAGGTATTACCACATTATGTGCCATATTATAATACAGATACAACATCAATTTTCTGGACACTGATGGTCTGGAAACTCTTATAATCCATATAATTTATGAGCAGGAACTTGAAATTCCCACGGCAGTGTATTTACCACCCAACTGTACATCACTTATCCAACCCCAAGACCAAGGAATACTGCGCTCTCTAAAGGCAGAAAACTCAGTAATCCAGAAAGGCTTTGGAACCAAAGGGTCCAGTAAAATTGATGTTGTACAGTCTTCTTTTTCCTGGTTTTGTAAGAATAGGTATTCTAGTTTGTCATCATAAAATTAGACCTGTATCTCAGGAATAGCATGGTAGCAAATTTCACTTCAATTTTTTATGCATTTTAAGCTGGTATGGCAAAGTCTAACGTAAGAATATTATGATCAAGATAGAAAAAATACTCTTCATTCATTGTCTCTATTAAAATATAAAGCAATTTATCAATGATGTGAAAAAAATGTTGTCATACCAGACTTCTGAGATTTTGCATCCATTTCATCAGGCGTTCCATCATTAAGGTTGACATCTGTCCAGGCATCATCAGTGGGCTGAGAGTTTGGTTCCTCATTGAGGCTAACAGCTCCCGAGCCTACATCACTCCCTGCCTCACCCACCTCAGAACCCTGCAAGAAATGCTTGTTATAGATATGCAAACAGTTCTGCTTCATCAACTGATAAAAAAAATTAAGAAAAAAGAAAAATATAATGCAGTGTATTTCAAATCTTGCTTTACAGTTATTGTCATATTTTATTGTAATGTACCATTATACATTCCTTGTATTATTTAAAAAAGAAATAGGCAGTGTCTAATCACTTACACACACTCAAAAAGAATTTACTCATGACTAATATGTGCCAAGAAAATTTTTTAATCATGTTCATATAAATAAGAAAATATAGAAGAATAATCACATATAAATGCCTTAATTACAATAGTTACAACATTTGTATGAATATCGAGAAAAAATTCTTGCATGCCATATTTCCCAAAATACCGTCACCAATTATGAATGCTTTCAAAAAGACATCTACTAAAGAGTATTTGAAGAAAAAATTATGCAATTTTTATTTTCCAAGCAGAATAAAAATCACCAAAAAAAAAAAAAAAAAAAAAAAAAAAAAAAAAAAAAAAAAAAAAAAAAAAAAAAGCACTGGTGCAACAGTAATTCTCGTATTTTTTATGAATTAAGAATAATGTAACAGCAGGTGCAGACCAAAGCTGAAATAGTGGAAAATAAGAAGTACTGTATAATGTAATCTAAAACAGAAATTTTAAAAACTTAAATGTTAACAAAAATTTTGTTTAGGAAAAACCCTGAATATTCAAACACAAGTTTTGCTTACATACCTTCCACACACTGCTGCTGTTTCATAGAATTGTCTTAAACATGTTTAAAAATGAATGCTAAAAACTGGATTATTAATATGCATCTTAAAATCTGTAAATAGCCTGTGCCCCCCAAAGTTATATCTAACTGATGTCTTCAGTCACTGATAAAAAAATTTGTACTGCAGTAAGAATATGAAAAATCCAATATATTGCTGCAAGTTAAGATGCAATTAATAAATCCATGATATAGTTTTCCAATAAAACAAATTTAACACAACAAAAGCAACTGTGCAAACAGAAGCAGTGAAAAAAAATGATTTCCTCATCAAAGCAAAAATCAGGAACACTATCAAACATGAAGATACGCTACCAATTTTTTACCTTAGGGTTTATCATGTTGTTGCGAGCTACTGGCTTAGAAACCTTAGCTCCATAGGCATTACAACCATACTTAGGAACAGGGCCAGTTCCTAGATTGTGGTTAGACTGGGGAGAGACCAGGTAGGCCAGATTAGTAGTTTTGGTTCATGTAATAAGCAAATTACCCTAGGTTGCAAGCTGGAAACCAATTTCTTTACACAAAAAAAGCAGACAACTGATACTGTGGTACAACAACAATTTCCTAGTGGCTATCTGTATGCTATCTGCATGTCAAATTTTAAAAATTTGACGTTACAGGATTACTATGTTAGTGTTCACAAAGAACTTGCATTAAAAGGCCTCCATTACTAATTTAGTCACATGTAATTAAAATAAATATATATATATATTTATATTACAAGCAGCATTTTCAAAACTGTAGCAGTAAAAACTATATTGACATTTATTATTAGGCAATGTATCACCTTCAAAATTAACTGTACCTGGAGTAAAAATGTAATTTTATATTAGTTTCCAACACTATTCTTACATATATCAGGCATAACAAATTTCAGTTTTACCATCCTGGAAAGTTATTCAGTAGTTCACCCTTAGCATTACTGATTGTTTTTAGTCAGCTAATATATACCCACTGGTATACTTCCAATCATCTTTACAACTGTCTCGTGTCAGTTACTTACTCCTGCCCATATTAATTTATCAACAGATCAAAACGTCCAGACCTCAAAATCACATGGTGCAGGGGGCTATGGACATCAAATACTGTAATCCATCACATAGGCCCAGAAGACACTTATGATGCAGCCAGTAGCCACAGGAAATCTTGATATATCCTGCTTTGAGTTGCCAGGGCAATAAAACTTTTTGTCTCATTGACAAAAGCACCAGGGTAGAGTATTACTTTGGACTTTAATTTATGTCAGATGCCTTCCACTCAGTGTATTTTAACCGTTTCAGGGTCTCCAGGCCCTCTCCGAGACTTGTTCTCAGGGTTGCCAAAATTTAAAAAAAATCTTATGAAAAGACAGTTTTTTTTTTTTAATCTTACAGGCTAAACAAAAAATTTTTACCATCAATACTTACTGAGATATGGAGGCGTGAAATTGACAGAAAATGCCTGGTATATGGTAACATCGCCGACTACTGGTTACCCGGTATTACTTTATTTACTTTTTTAGGTACTGTTTTCTATTATTTTTTAATTTTTTTTTCCAAGTAACTTTTATGGCCTGTGAGACACAATAACTGTATAAACACTGTTGTCACTGTTTTGTTTACAGAAAATATTTACACAAACAAACGATATAAAATGTTGTTCATTACTATTTTTCTATATTTTATATACACATATACAGTCACAGGGAATGTTTCTAGAAGTTCTGCAGCCTGTGGAAGTCTTTGAAACATGGTGTCATGCACAGTGGTGTTTTACACTCCTCACACATAAAACGAGTGTCTCTGCGTCGTTGTGGGCTTTTTTTTGTATGTGCACAGACGTAACACCTCTTCTGAGCCTTTTTCTTGAAAGCAGTAACAGGCAGTTTTACTAGGAAGTGATCACCATGCTTCAGACGAGAAGGCAGTTGTTGATAATTTAGTGGGTGGTCTATTGCAGGTGTTGTTCCTTGGTACTTGAATACTATTTGTCTGATGACAGACAAACAGAATTCGCCATATGGTGGTTTGTTTCTGGTCCTCATCTTATACATATTATAAGCATTGAGCATGGAAATGTCCAGAAGATGGAAAAAGAGTTTTATGTACCACTTATAACTCTTGCGAACACAATCAGCAAACCCAATCTGCATGTCACATTTGTCCACTGAGCGCATATTGAGGGTGTAATCAATCACAGCTGCAGGTTTTAGAATGGGTTACTTGCTGTCTCTATGCTGCCTGCCAGTGTTTGTCATTTTGTTAGGGTGAACTGATGACAACAGTGTGACATCTCTTTTGTCAAGCCACCGAAATGCCATGATGTCACTGGCAGCAAACGTCTGCACCTCACCTCTATGAGTGTCAGCGTCAAACCTGTGCCACACACATCTGTCATGTTCACTCGCAAAAAATCACTAAGTGAGGGGCTTGTGTACCAGTTATCAGTATATAATATATGCCCCTTACCAAGGTATGGTTCTATCATTGTTCTAACCACATCACCAGAGATGCCCAGTAACTTCCTGGTATTTTGCAATGTATAGCTTCCAGTGTACACAATAATATCCAATACCAGACCACTGTAACAATCACAAAGCACAAACAACTTTATACCAAAGCGCTTCCTCTTGCTTGGTATGTACTGCTTGAAAGAGTCTTCCTTTGAATAGAATCAAAGACTCGTCAATTACAAGCTTCCTGAAGGGATAAAAATACATATTGAACTTCTCTTTCAGATACACAAACACATTCCTAATCTTACATAACCTGTCGTTTCTGTCAGGCCTGGTTTTGTCTGAGAAGTGAAGCATACGTAACAGTAGCACAAATCGATTCACTCCCATTGTATCACTGAAACCTGGGGTTGCAATCAGGCAGTCTGTTGGCCAGTATGATTTCACACTGTGCTTATATACATGTGGCATAAGCATTATTGTGGCAAAGAAAAGATACATCTCAGCCACAGATGTCTCCTTCCACTTGTGTAGCCATGAGCTTGGTGAAAGTATTGTGTTTGCCATGGTGTACTCGTAGTATCTGTTGCTTTCCCTGACAAAAATTTCCATCAGGGATTCGTCCAAGAATAACTTGAAACATTCCAGTTCAGTGGCATTGTTCCCCAGTGTACAACATGGTCATATTCCATTTTGGCTTTCATCAAACTGGTGGGGATTTGGAACAAAACTGACAGCTTCCTGCCAAACCCTGGTGCGGTCTGCTGGTGGGTACTGGACATTGACAGCTGGTTGTGGTTGTGGAGGCTGGTGTGGTGGGTGGGTGGGGGATGGTGGCCTTTGTTGTAGATCAGCTGAGGCAGCGGCATGGGTGGCAGCGTGGCCCACTGCTGGTGCCTCACGGCCGGCACCACCACTACCACCACCATGCACATTTTCCATCCCAATTGCAACACTATCATCGTTATTTTCAGTCTGTTCCTGTTGTACAGCCACAGGATGTACTCCGAGATGTACTCCTTCCCCTTGGAATAGCATATGGCACACTACCAGAGCGTATATATCGTCGTATATACTGACGCTTCACCGGAGAATATTCCACTTCACTATTACTACTGGAACTGGTTTCAAGAGCTTGTATTTCATATCCACTATCACTATCATCACCAATGCTCACATCTGAGTCCGGGATTTGGGAAAATAGGAGTTTCCTCTTTGATTCTGGTACAACTGAATGTGAACAAGACAGCCCAGCAGCAGAGGTGGAAGTCTGGGTTTTCCTCACTATTACTGATATTATGGTCCTTAGTTTCGGTCACAGCTTCACCAAAACCTTGAAACTCATCTTTACTGGCACTTCCATCTGTATTAGAACTGTCACTGAGGAACAAAAGTGTCCCAATTTGCCGAGGAGTGAAGAGCTTCTTACCGTGAGGCATGGTGAACAAGGTCTACTAAAATGGCGCTCCCATTATGCACCACTAGGTCCCAGATTTTTTTCTACCATGTACACCGACCACACACACTCATTCTCTCACATATAGGCCTACCAGCCTTTTCCCGCGAGATCTGAATGCGCTAGAATTTATGCGTACTAGTACGTCAAAAACCCTGGTGCGTAAGCTGTACTAGTACGGCCGAAACCCTGAAAGGGTTAATGGCGAGCACAGTACGTATATATACATGTACCTGCTTCCCAGGGAGAGAATGGATTTCATATATATTGTATAAAATTTGCAAATATTTTTAGTCATATGTGCAGCAACATCTAACATAAAATGACAAAAATATAAACCAACACTTTTTATAAAAATGAATTGTTGAATGACAGAATGAAGTCGGACTTAATTTATAATGTAATTTTTCACTTTGTTTGATCTCTTATTTTATCTATTTCATCTTACTCTCTGTACATAATGAGCCTCAAATTCTTTATCGCCAATACCAGCACATATTCAGTGATGCTCGTATTACCTATGAAAAACTTGGGGAAATAAAAACTGGATCAGAGTATAAAACAAATTCCAACCACACAATAGAGTGGAAAACTGATGTGAAAGACCTGGGAGTGATAATGTCAGAGAATCTCACTTTCAAAGATCAAAGCAATGAGTCTACCATATCTGCTAGGAAAAATGATAGGATGGATATTGAGAACCTTCAAAACTAGGGATGACAAGCCACTGACAATTCGTTTCAAATCGCTTGTTCTCTATAGGTTGGAGTACTGTTATACACTAATGGCCCCTTTCAACGCAGGTGAAATTGCAGACTTCGAGAATACACAGAAAACTTTCACTGCACATATAATTACAGTAAAGCACCTAAATTACTGGGAATGGTTGAAGTGCCTTGACCTGTATTCCTTGGAATGCAGGCTAGAAAGATACATCATAATATACACTTGGAAAATCCTAGAGGGACTAGTCCCAAAGCTGCACATGGAAATCACTCCCTACAAAAGCAAGACTCGACAGGCGGTGCAGCATCCCCCCAGTGAGAAGAGGAGGCATCATGAGTAAGTAACATGTGTATCATGAGTAAGATAAGAGAGAGACAATAAGTGTCAGGGGCTCAAGACTGTTCAACAACCTCCCAGAATACATAAGGGATACTACCAATAGATCCCCTAGTTGTCTTCAAGAGGGAGCTGGACAGACACCTAAAGTCAGTACCTGACCAACTGGGCTGTGATTTGTATGTTGGTTTCCCTGTGGCCAGTAGTAACAGCCTAATTAATCAGGCCCTGATCCACTGTGAGGCCTGGTCAAGAACTGGGCTGCAGGGGTGTTGACCTGCAGAACACCCTCCAGGTATGCAGTTTTGCTCAATGAAATTGCAAATATCAAACTTAAGCTGAAGGAATCTTGTAGGAGACAAGAATAACAGGAAGAACTAAAAGCCATAAAGGAAATTGAAAAAAAAAACAAAATACTTCTTCTCTTATGCCAAATCTAAGGAAAAAACAACATCCAGTATTGGGCCCCTGCTTAG